GTCCTCTGATTCCCTAAGGACTGTTCTTTGCAGCCGTGTTCCTCTGTGTCTTGCAGGAAGGTAACACTCCTCCCTGCTCGCTTCCTCCTTCAGTGTTCGCTCAACGGAACTTCCTTGGTTGCTGTGCTATATCTGCAGCTATTTCTTCTCTCTCTCTCTTTTTTTTTTTGCCAGACCCCCAATCTCCTTCTTTTTCTGGCCCCAAATTTAGGTGTCCACTTAGTGTTCTTCTTCTTGACCTTCTATCTATCTTCTCAACTTTGATCTCTTTATTTAATGACATGAACTAGTTATGACTTTTGGCCCTATGTTTTCCTTCAACAATTTATTTTGCATTTATCCATAGGATCTTTCTACAGGGAAAAACCTGTTTCTTCACATTTAACTTGTTCCAAATTCTACTCATCACATTCTCTCAAGGCTTTCATCCTCTTAGAGGTACCGCTATATTTTCTAGTCTCCCAGACTCTAAACTCTGGGGTCATTGTCTCGTAATTTTAGTATGTCTGTCAGCAAGATCTGACTTTTTTTTTAGTGCGAAAATGACTCTCAGGTTTGCTGTAGTCTCATTTTCCCATTCATTGTCCTAGCTCATTTCTTTTCCTTAACACAATAGACTCACAGCTTTGGTTGTGTCTCCCTGCCCCCATTCCAGTTGCATATTTCTAAGCAATTGGTCTTCAAAAAATGTTACTTTCTTCCTATGGGTTCTTATTGCTTACCTCCTTAAGTTTCCTTTCTTGGCTGATTTTCATGATACTTCGTGACCTGTGGCACCCTGCCAAGTATACCTTATCTCCCACTGTGCTCTCTGTAGTCTTTGCTCTCGGGAGGCTGATGTTCTCACTGTTAGTTTCCTGTGTCGAGTTAATTTTTCTTGAGTCTTTTTTTGCTGCCTGGAGTATCCTTATCTCTCAACTGATCAGAAATCCTTCCCATTTTTAAAAGAAAGATTTCACTTTCTTCCTCATGGCTTCTGATACCACCAGTTCATCCCAACTCTCCCTTCTCTGCATCCTGATTCTGTTAACTGGGTAGTGTGGTGTAGTGATGGGAAGCCAGGGTTCAGTGCCAGGCAGACTGCTCTGTTGCTTGCCAGTTGCATTGCTTATCTCCACATGCAACATTTGGAATACTTTAGGAAGTTATCTTGAGGATTAATTAAGATAGAAGAGTATGGAGTATCTAGTAGTATCTGGTTCATAGTAAAGCTACCATGAATCAGTTAATGGATAGGTCAGTTAATGATGTTTCATTTTCCTGCCACTTTAATAGATGTCTTTTTGTGGACTGATATTATTATATCATGTACATTAACATTGCCTCCAAACTGTATATCATAAAGCCAGAATCATAATGTGACATGGGGAGGCCTGTAGAAACCATTAAACAGCACAAATCATAGTGGTTCATATCTGCAAAGGCCCTATTCCAGGCCATCTTTCCTGCGATGAGGAAATGGGGCTGGGGGCAGATTCTTTAGGGAGCTACCCAAGGTAGCACACTTAGAGGAGAGCTGGCCCCAACCCCAGCTGGAGGTTTTAGGACTCATATGTCTCAACTCATTTTATTATCTTTTTGTTCTTCCCCTTTTAGAAACTGCCTAAAAGCTGGATCACCAGTTATGTTCCTTTATCACCTATAGTCTTTATGTCATTGAGGGATATTGGGCTGGTATTTTTGGATTGATTTATTGATTGAGTCTTTGTCTTGGCAATAGGAGTTCTCTACAAAATCTGTGGAATATGTATTGTACATGGGCTTGCCAGTCTTCTGATGCCATTGTGATGTGGAAGGGTTTAACATGTACTAGTCTGTGCACTGGCTTAGGGCGGTGGGGAAAGGAAATGGGAAAGGAAGTTATATACATCGTGAGCAACTCAAGCTTTTCTATATTTAGTGCTTGCTACTGTTTGGAAAGTACAGCTCTGTTCATAGCAGTCTGGCATGTGTTTCCTTAGTGCCATTTCAAAAAAGGGAAAAATAAATATGGGAATTTTTTGTAGTGAAAATAGTTACTCAGTGAAATCACACAAGTTCCTTCTTTTTCTCTTGATGAAACCTCAAACCCACTAGGCACAGATTCCTCAACCTCAACTATGCATGTCAAAGGCTCATGCAGAGTCAGCAAAATCCAATACAGCAAGATGTGTTCTGGTGGCTGTGAGAGTCAGGGCAGGGACGGCGAGGGGTGGGAATGGTGACTCTCCTTGATTAGTGGATGGCTTCACCAGCCATTATATTCTTGCCCCCAGAGGAAAGTGAACCTGAACTACATAGATAGACACATGGTATTGCAGTCCTTTGCTTAAACTGTTTCTTCTGCCCGAGTGTCTCTCTCTGCTGTCTTTGGTAAAAGTATTTCTGAGTGTCTTACAACCACTCCCCCAATTCAAACAAATGAATTACTTCTCTTTAGTAGTTTTGATGGCAGTTTTGGGATTTTCTCAATCTGAGACTATATTAGTTATCATCGGGGACAATAAAAGAGAATAAAATTTCCTGATCTCTATTTAGATGGATTTCGGTAACATAGCAGGACTGGATTGTCCAGAAACAGCAATGACAGAATGGCTTGGGGCCGACTGCAGGGGTCTAGTGCAGCAGATGAGGGCCTGAACCAGGGCGATGACCATGGCCATGGTGAAAGGGAGCTAAAGTCCAGAGCAGTTTGGAATGGGGGGCATCTATGGGAAATTGAGGAGTCTGGGATGCTGTGCAGGATCCTGACTTTCTTTCTTTATTTGTATTATTGTTCAGGTACAGTTATCTCTATTTCCCCCCAAAAAACTATCCCCTGCCCTACACCCCCACCTCCTATCCTCGATCCTATCCCCTTCTGACTTTGTCCATGTGTCCTTTATACATGTTCCTTAATTACCTTTCCCACTTTTCCCCATTATTGCCTCCCACTCTCCTTCGGTCACTGTCAGTTTGTTCCTTATTTCAATGTCTCTGGTTATGTTTTACTTGCTTGTTCGTTTTGTTGATTAGGTTCCACTTACAAATGAGATGATGTGGTATTTGTCTTTTACTGCCGCCTGGCTTATTTCACTTAGCACAGTGCTCTCCGGATCCATCCATGCTGTTGTGAAGGGTAGGAGTTCCTTCTTTCTTTCTGCTGTGTAGTATTCCATTGTGTAAATGTACCACAGTTTATTGAACCACTCATTTACTGATGGGCACCTAGGTTGCTTCCAACACTTGGCTATTGTAAATTGTGCTGCTTTGAACATTGGGGTGCATAGGTTCTTTTGGATTGGTGATTCAGGGTTCTTAGGAAATAACCCCAGCAGTGGAATTGCTGGGTCAAAAGGCAGTTCCATTTTTAGTTTTCTGAGGAAATTCCATACTGTTTTCCACAGTGGAACCTGACTTTATCTAGGAGAGAGCTATTTTCTTTGTCTCCTAGCATTTGCCAAATAGGAAGATCCTCTAAAAAATCAGAACTCTGAGGCAAGGGTGAGGTGAATTTTACTAGAGGAGATGTTGATACCATTGAGCAAAGATCACCCCTGTTTTGGGGGCAGGACTATACAGTCTTCAGACATAAACACTTCTGCCTAGATAAAATTGTGGCAGTAGGATGAGAATAATACATTGCTATCATTAATGCTAATTTGTGGATATTGCTCTATTGTTGTCATTGTTTTTTAATTGAATATGTATTAAGCTCCAACAGGGTGCTATGCATAATGCCAACTTGTAGTTGATTTTTCAGAACACTCAGAAGAATTTATAAACACCAATAAATGAAACTCACAGTACTCTTTCGAGGTGGTAAACGTTGCCATTTCTACAAACGAGAAGTGAAGTAGATTGTGTTTTCCTTGTTGGCACTGTGGGTGAGAACACAGAACTGTCAAATGAGAGAAAAGTATTTTCCCTGTCCCCAGGAATTGGGTAAGAATACATTAGTAAAGAATTATCTTCAAATGTTTTTGGAGTTTTGGGGTTTTTAATTAAATTGCTCCGATTATTGTTAACACTTGCGTACACATCAGGCAACCGAATTCCAGGCCAGCAGATTTCAAGATGAGTGTAGGAAAGAACTGGGAGATGGATGAAGGGCTTGTTAAATGCCCGTTATTAGGCTCTACTCCAAAAGGTTCAGATTTGGTAAATCTGGGAGTGGTCCTAAGAATTTTCCCTTCGAATGGGCATCTGAAATCCTTCTGTCCTCAGAGGAAGCTCAGCTTCCCTTTGAAAGCCCACTCTCTTCTTTTTCTTACAGAACATGCCTTTAGCCACCAAGGTGTAGTCTCTCTCTGAGACCAAGAGTTTTATTTAAAATAGCCTCTGGTCTCCTGGAACTCACCTCGTATGATCCTATACTGACCTCATTTACTGTACATTTACAGGAGGCATATTGTACACTTAGCATTCTACTGGACATGTGGTTCCAAGGACCCGACGCCCCATGGTTTTCAGGGTGCCCCTGTGGGTTTGTATTTTCACTCCCCTATATCATGTGAGGGTGCTAAAACTGAGAGGGGGTATGACTTGGTCAAACATCTCACCATGTTAAATCCTTTTGACTTAAATTCAGGTAGGGACCCAGATTCTCCTTCAAGTATGAACCACAGATGGGGACAGAGCTGATAGACATGTTTTAAGTGGAATTCATCATAGAGAAAAAGTTCACATTGCAATAGGGGAGAGGAAGGAAGGAAAGCTAGAAATGACCAATTCAGGTTTTTATCCTTCTGTTATTTGTCTTGACTCTTTAATATAGAGTAGGTACTAAACTATGGAAAGTAAGTAGTAGTCATTTGATTTGTCACTTGACTCTGAATATTCTTTGAAAAGATAAACATTTCTCAGGAAAGCTTGAACTGAGGCATGAATAGAATTCTGGAATTGAGAAAGGCTTTTTAAATTGAGGTAAGAATAATGAGACTTGAGACAGTATTATTTCTTGCCTCCTTTAAATTTTTTTCAGCCTTTACCTGTGGGAAGAACAATCCTTTCAAAGCTGTCTTTTAATTTGTATTCCCTAGATTGAAGGCAGGAAAGTTTGTTGTCTTGTGGATTCACATGCATTCCTAATTAAGGTGAGGTCAATAGCTTTCTGATATGGTCCTTATTCACTTTTTATCAATGGCAACATTTTTCATAAAAACAGGAATTCCTGCTGTGAGTGTTATTAATGTAAATTTTCTGTGCCCTGCCTAAAATATATGTGATTCATACCATGTGTTTGTTCCCACATTCAACACTGAGTCCTAAGATACAATTACCCCTGCCCACTCTCTCCTTCGTCATAGGGGCCGTGTTTATCTGTTAGATATCTGTACCCTGGACACTAGCCAGGTTCTTTCTGTGCCTAGGGTTTGTACACCTGCATAATCTGAGCACAGCTGACCGTTTGAGACTGGTCTTCCTTTATCTTTACCTAAAGGAACATGTGTTACTTTCCAAGAGTCAGTGCCTGATGCAGTGTTCCTCCTATATCTTTATGCTCAAGTGCTAAATACTTAAACATTTTTTCTCCAAGTAAAATTTTCTCAATTCTCACTGCATCCATGCAGTTCTCTCTGATTTTTCTATTTAGCTCCTCTCCTCTCGTTCCCCCTCTTCTCTTTTCCCCTCTTCCTCCTCTTTCTTCCATCTCTCTCTCTCTCTCTCTCTCTCTCTCTCTCTCTCTCTCGCATGTATGTTTACTCTAGCATCTTGTGTTTCATATACTTTGATACTTAATGTGCCTTATTCAGCCCTATACTATGGTTATTTGTGGGGAAACTAACCTCTGTAATGCAAGTATAAGAACTTGCAGGGCAGAAAATCATTGATTTTTTTCTTCCTTCCTCCTTCCTTCCCTCCTTCCCTCCTTTCCTTCCCTTCTTCCCTCCTTTCCTTCCCTCCTTTCCTTCCCTCCTTCCTTCCTTCCTTCCTTCCTTCCTTCCTTCCTTCCTTCCTTCCTTCCTTCCTTCCTTCCATCTTGCCTACCTGCCTTTTAATAAAACCTGTCTTTCGTATCAATGTATCCTGAATATTTGATAAATATTTATGAAAAAGTGAATGAAAACTGCTAAATGTAGTGATAGAAGGCAAAGAGAGGATTAGAACTTGACTTGAACTTAGTTACATCCATGGCCTAATTCATGTTCACCTAATTGGCCTGTATAATCTCATTTGATGCTTGAAGGCAAAACCTCTCCCTCTTTGCATTCCCAGTTTTGTGTCCGGGAAAGTGTCAGAGCTAGAGTGTTGCAGCAAAACATTTGAGACCCAAATTCCAATCCTTCTGTGTATTACCTGAGGGACTTAGAAGAGTCTCTTTTTCTTTGATCCTTGCTATCCTCTTTTGTAAAATATGAACAATAATACCTAATAATCTCTAGGACTGCTGAGAGAATCCAGTGAGGTCATATTTAAGAAAGCGCTTCTCTGAACTTAGGCCCTTCTCTGTAGATGAGAGCAGTGCAGAGAAAGCTATGCTTTTCTTTCCCCATGTTCCCAGAGGTAACTGTGTCTAGGCTGTGTCCAGTGGAGAGGGTATCTGGCTCATAGGGTATTTCCCAGTGCTCTCTTGGAACAGAAATCTTCACCAAGAGAAGATGATGGACAGATTTAGGATAATTATTGGGGAGCTGATGCATATTTTATTGTTAGAAAATGTGATTTCTGCCATCGTAGATTGTTTCTCCATATCTCAACATTTCTTATACTTTGAGATAAGACTGAATATACATTTTATCTTTTTCCTTTCTGCCTGCTGCTAAGATTTGCTTTCTTGCTAAGATTTGCTACTCTCACCTGTCTTTTTTCTATTTCCATTAATCAGCTTATGACTCTCAAAAAATGTAACTGAATGCAACTTCCTCCATAAAGTTGTCAGTGACTATATTTGAAATGGATATTTCAAATTGTGTATTGTTGTTAGTATCTGCTGTATATTTTTTTGTATTTTCAACTATCAAAGTAACACTTAAACTAAATAGAAACAGAGTGATTTGGTTCCAGTAAGTGGCTATAAGTGGGAAAAAAAATCATCCACATTAACAAATAATCAAAGAAACAACTTTTAAGCTTCAGAAACTTTAGGTAGGTTGCATTTATGTAAATGTGTTGGAAAAACAGGCCTTTTAATCTAGAAGAAAACATGTAAATCACATCTAAACCCCTCATTTTGCTGTTGAGAAAACACAAGCTTGGAAAGAGAAAGTGATTTGCCCAGGGTCACCCCACCAAGTTATGGCAGAAGTGGGATGAGTGCCTAGATTACTGCTGCTTACACTCCTTGCCTACACATCCGCTCCCCTGTTCACTAAAGACAACCCTGTGGTTACCTGGGATAGGTAATAAGTATCACTTTCCTGGGTCAACACTTCTAAATATTCAGAGTCATCTTCTGACATTAGCTTACTTGTAAGTTTTTTAGGAGAAAATTGAAATACTGTTTTGTTCCTTTTTTTTTCACTTGAGATTGAGTTTTGGGTGGAAGGGCTGGGATTAAGAAGCACTGATTCATGTGTTCCCGCCCCAGCCTGATGCCTTGGCTGTTTGACTATTAGAAAATCACTTAAGCTTTCTGGTCCTTTGTTTCGTTTTGGTTCAGTCATGGGATTCTTCCCATCTCCACCATGCCTGTTTACAAATCTAAGTGTCTCCACCCGTTCTGACAGTTCCGTATCACTTGTTTGCACCTCTGTGTCAGCACAGACTTCTGAACTGGCTGGAGGATGGACTCGACTCTTGCCCAAATGCCCAAATTGCTCTGGCCTTGTCCTGCAAGTGAGACTGGAAATTCCGGGGCAGTGCCTGTGCTCTCCTCCATAAAGTTGCCTCACATGGAAGATAGGAGGAGAGAAACTTCCTGCTTATTCACAGGTTCTTAAGAAGAACATTTGAAATAATGCGTGATGTATTGCTTTGGAGAAGATGTTTCACAGTGTAGGTTATTTAGGTTTCAGTCCTATTTCAGTCCCTTTACTGAATTATTGTCCTAGACGTCTCTGGGGGAATATTTTTATTATCTTGAAATGGAAGTGTTGGAATAATTGCTTAAATTCTTCTTCCAGTTCTAATATTTCTTGAGTCTGAGTTACCTCTTCCATGCTAATCATCTATAATCTATTCACAATTTCCCAAACATTATATACAAGTCCTGACTGATGATGCTTTGCGCATAGACTCAGAACCACAAATGTTAAAGAAATTTCTCACCCCTGCCCTTCCTGGTGTGGCTCATTAGGTTAGGCACCGTCCTGCAACCTGAAAACTACCAGTTTGATTCCAGGTCAGGGCACTTGACTGGGTTGTGGGCCAGGTCCCTGGGTGGGGGGTGTGCGAGAGGCAACCAATTGATGTTTCTCTCCCTTTCTTTCCCCTTCCCTTCTCCTCTCTCTAAAAATAAATACGTAAATAATGTAAAGAAGAAATTTCTCACCCCTTCTCCACCACGAGGGCATGCCTGCTTTATAGTGCTGGCTGCTTCCTGTGGAATGCTGGACAAGGGAGCTGAACACTCTCTTTGTTTTTCAGTCTTGGTGACATTCCGAGAAGTCATGAAGGTATTCAAGCAAAAACAGTTTGAGGATGACGAGCTGATATATCAAATTAACCTCAAATTTCTAAGTTTTCAAGCACTTGCTTCTGGCTGTTTCTATTATGTTGATGAGGAATGTGAGAAAGTGGCTTCTGAAATTCATCATGCCCCAGCTCACTGGCCCTGCATTATCAAAATGCAAAATAAGAAAACTGTTTTCCTTGAGATTTTAAAACAAAATCAGTACAAAAATCTCTGGCATGATCTATTTTATACTGCATCCTAAAGGGTGGACCAAAAATATTTTAGTCAGTGTATTTAATTTGTAGGTTCAAACTACTATTTTTCTACCTTCCTCCATTAATGTTTTCTTAATGGAAAACCAAACTGTTTTTGCTCTCTACCTTTTAAAACTTCTGCTAGAATTATTTTGTGTTAGTTGCATTATGCAAAGCATTCCTGCAGATGTTTTTGTGATAAAGATGGTTTTATATATGTCCTTATAGACATTTCAATTGGATGTACTTTCAGCTTGATACAGTGTTTGCTAAACTGTGTGTGTAGACTGACCAACAACGTGTTCTTTAGGATCCTGTTTCTTCATCCATAGCTTGTCTAAATAGTCTGCAATAGTGATGTTCAAACTCTTTTTTATAGAAATATCCAGGGGATGTTATTGGAGGCAATGGGGAAGACCAAGTAGGTGGACTCGTAGGCTTCCTTTGCTTGTACTTGAGCCAGAGTGGCTGTTTTTATATTTTTTAAACCATGGGCTTTAATGTATGATTGTTTTTTGTTTTTGTTTTTTTTTTTTGCCAGGTGGTTATGTTGCTTTCAAAATGTCTATTTTACTTTGAAATCATTAATCTTATTGTGGTTAATCTTAAGGTTCTTATATTATGATAGGTAGATAATATATGTATTTTTCCACATTATTATTTAATTGTTTTTATGCAAATTGACCTTGGTTTTAATTGCAAGGGACTACTTTAGTAGAGTATTATCAATGTAATTTTTAATTTGTAAAGATTATACTTTAGTAGAAATAATTTAGTGAGTAGGTAAACACAATGAAAAGTGAAGGTTACCTTTGTTTGTTTGTTTTTGTTTGTTTTTTGGGGTATTTTTTGCTTTCTTGTATGACTAGGACAGTGAACAGTGAGGCTGCTTGTGTGTAATCTAGCACCGCCTGAACTATGACCTTGACCTTACCTGCAACTGAGTTGTCTTAAATTCTGAATTTTTCCAGTTTTAGTGTGTTTGGATCTGGTTGCAAATGGGCAGCAAAGATGGTGACAAGCCAGTTGTTAAATGCTGTTTTAGACTCACACAATATGAAGACAAAAAAAAAAATAACGGGAGACTTGACAGGTTCACATCCCTCATTTTGTACAAGTAAAACTTGAGATTCAGAAATGCAAATGAGAGCCTGATGGTGTCACGTGTGGAGCTGGCTCTGTGCTGACATCTCTGGGGATGAGTGGGTCTCGCACTGCCTGTGTCAGTGAGGAGACTGTGGAACGGAGGCCCCTCTCGCTATCTCCATGGGACGAGTTTATCCTA